GAAAGGTTCACATGCTGAAATTCACTCTCCTGTCCTATTGGAGTTTGCTGCTGTTTTTAATTCTTTCGGGGGTTTCGCTGAAGGATTCCTTGCACATTATTGTTACAAAGGCTTTAACCAAAGCTGTTGTTATAAATTAAGTTAAAATGTGCATGCCGGCAAGAAAAAAAAGAACTAACCTGTCCTGATTGTTCTAGGGCTACTCCTATATAGCACAATCAGGCGATAACACTTTTCCTGGACTACCTTAACAGATTATAAGTGCATGTATCATGTTTTTGAATGCTTTCTCATCTAAAACTTGCTGCATATGCAAAAGTGTTCAACTTAACCCTTTCCCTGACCGTGCTGTTTTTCTATGTGCAAGGTAACATCCCCCCCCCGAAAGAGTCTCACTTTCATTTTCCCATTTCCTGTCTAAAGCTGTGGAATCCAGGAATAGCTCAGCCACGTGATTCTGCTAAATGAAGGGGTGTGCGTGGGAGTAGCCACGTGTGCCCGAGCAGAAACAAGCTGAAGCACAGAGACCTGTGAGCAGACCTTGGATCCTCGTTGTGGTTTTCTTTGCTCCATCCCCAGGCCAATGTTCCCTCTAAGCTCCACAGTGTTCTGAGCAGAAATTCTACCTCATGGGCGAAAAAAGCCAGGAGCATTAAAGTGGTGAGCAGTGTTCCCCCTAAGCTGAGTTAGTATGAGCTAGCTCACGGTTTTTTAGCCTCCAGCTCACAGATTTTTCTCTTAGCTCAGAAAAGATAGCTCCAGGGCAAACTAATTGATGCCGTAGCCAAATCGCTCGCTCACAACTTGAATGCCGGTAGCTCACAAAGTAGAATTTTTGCTCACGAGACTCCACAGCTTAGAGGGAGCACTGGTGGTGAGCGAGTCTACATTTGACTATCACGTAAATTGGGGTTTTTTAGAAGATTACTTCCATAATCTTGTAAAAATCTCAGCATAAATGCTTTAAAATTATATTTAAACTGTATGTTAGCAACAGTATAAACATTATAAGAGAAAACAGAATCAAGTCAAATTTCACCCACCCCTTTCCACTATATTGGTAGACCTGTCCTTCGGAGAACAGGTCTACCCACCTCAGGCCACTATATTGGTAATCTGATTTCCGGAGAACAGGTCTACCCACCACTATATTGGCCGCGGACTGTTGCCCTTCACTGAGCCTTAAAAAACATACCAGTACTTGAGGAAAGGGGACACTCTTGCAGTCTACTTTTTTAAAACTGAAATATGACAACCAGCATTACAGGGCAAGTATAACTGAGGAGGAACAATCATTGTCAGGGACCTGTCTACCTGAGGGACCGCCTTTCCCCCCCGTATGTTCCCCAGAGAGCACTGAGATCTGGGATGCAACATCGCCTGACCCTTCCTGGCCCTAAAGAGGCCAGGTTGACAACAACTAGGTCTAGAGCATTTTCGCTAGCTGCACCAGTATATGGGAATGAGCTCCCCAGTGAGATCCAGGCCCTGCAAGATCTCCAGCAATTTCGCAGGGCCGTGAAGACAGAGATTTTCCGCCGGGCATATCAGTGAGAGCAATGGTATGCCAGCCAAACCTTGCCGACCCGCCAAGGCATGTACTCTGTATAGGTAGATAACAATGTGGCCGATGTCTAGTTGCAATGATATACCGAGCCGCTTTTACTTATATTTATTGTATTTACGTAAAGTTGTTTAGGAGCTGCGGTGGCTCAAGTGATTAAGATGCTGAACTGCAGGCTGTGGAAGGTCGGTAGTTCAGCAGTTCGAGACCCAGGTGCCGCATGATGGAGTGAGCTCCCACCTCTAGTTCCAGCTCCTGCCATCCTAGCAGTTCGAAAGCAAGACATTGCAAGTAGATAAATAGGTACCACTTCGGTGGGAAGGGAACAGCGTTCCGTGCGCCTTGGTGTTTAGTCATGCCGGCCACGTGACCACGGAAACGTCTTCGGATAGCGCTGGCTCTTCGGCTTTGAAACGGAGATGAGCACCGCAACTCTAGAGTCGGACTCGACTGGCTTTCGAGCAAGGGAACCTTTACCTTTTAATGTAAATCTAGGAGCTGCGGTGGCTCAAGTGGTTAAGACGCTGAACTGCAGGCTGTGGAAGGTCGGTAGTTCAGCAGTTCGAGACCCGGGTGCCGCATGACGGGGTGAGCTCCCGTCTCTAGTTCCAGCTCCTGCCAACCTAGCAGTTCGAAAGCAAGACATTGCAAGTAGATAAATAGGGACCACTTCGGTGGGAAGGGAACAGCGTTCCGTGTGCCTTGGTGTTTAGTCATGCCGGCCACATGACCACGGAAACGTCTTCGGGCAGCGCTGGCTCTTCGGCTTTGAAACGGAGATGAGCACCGCAACCCTAGAGTCGGATTCGACTGGCTTTCGAGCAAGGGAACCTTTACCTTTAAAGTTGTTTTATGGATCGATTGTTTTATGTATGTTGGTTTTAGTAATGCTGTGAGCCGACCTGAGCCGCTTCGGCGGAAAGGCGGGATAAAAGCCGAATAAATAAATAAGTAGTCAGAACCCTGCCTAACCTAACAAACAGGAAGTTGCTTAAATGTCATCAACCTGCCCAAACGACCTCTTTATTCAAATATTTATATCCCACTATTCCTTGTGACTCAAGGGAGCTTACAAATCATACTGAAAAGTATAATAGGGGTGTGTAAAAAAAAAGTTTCCTCCCAGCTCCATTGTAGCCTATGGGGATCATTATAGTCAATGGGCCTCATAGGCCATAAATGGAGCATTGATCTGGGGTTTGAGGGGGCTGGCTTTTTAAGGTAGAGGCACCAAATTTGCAGCATGGCTGCTGGTGCCTCTCCTAAAAAAACCCACCCCAGTTTCAAAAAGATTGAATCAGTCAATCCTAAAAGAAATCAACCCTGACTGTTCCCTGGAAGGCCAGATAACGAAACTGAAGCTCAAATACTTTGGCCACCCAATGAGAAGGGAGCCCTCACTGGAGAAGACCCTGAGGCTGGGAAAGACTGAAGGTCAAAGAAGACGGAGACGGCAAAGGATGAGATGGTCAGACAGTGTTACCGATGCAACAGACATGAAACTGAGCAAACTCCGGAGGACAGAGGAAGACAGGAGGGCCTGGCGCGATGTGGTCCACGGGGTCGCAAAGAGTTGGACAATTTATGCAGTTACGAATTACTCATATAATACCGTGATGTATAGCTTGTAGGCTGTTAAGTTACAGGGAAAGTAATAAGGTCTTGTACGCGTGCATCCAGGAACTGGGACCAGGATGCAAACGAGCAAACCTGAAAGTTTAGCGGGAGTTCTGGTTGCTCATAGCAACCACAGCCAACTTCCTTCTACTGGAGAGCCAAGTCACTTCTAAAATTGGCTTGCCGCTTTTAAAGTGGTGACCGTTACGACAAATCAAACTCTACATGTGCCGGTGGTGTCAGGGTAGACTGAGAAGGAAAAAGAGCTCTGGACAGGGCCCTGCCCTCAGCCCCACACCCTTGACTGAGGGGAGGGAAAGGAACAAAAGCTGGCCTGCTTGTGGTGGCTGCTGCCCCCCCCCCGACCAAGTGCAGCTGGCTTGCTCTCAGTGGTAGCTACTTGCCCCACCCGCATGGGGCAATGGCCCCCAGTCTGCTGCTGCAGCAGCTATGGGAGCTACCCCTTGCTTGAAGTCAGGGTGGCCCCGGTTGGGGGGCCATCAGCGCACCAGGACCTTTCCTGGTGGCCTTAATGTCCAATCCACCCCCGGGTGGTGTTTCTCTCCCCCACAGATCCTCCTGTCACTGAAGCGTGTTCTTGCTTTTGTGCAGCGTGGGGGAAAAAAACCTTTTTTGATAAACTCTGGTCTCAGTCCCATCTACACAATCCTACGCATGTCCTACAGTCTTCCAGGAAGGTTTTACTTTTATTGAAAAGCCATAGATGCAGTAACATGAACGTGGTTAGGAATGGTGGGCTATCTTTGCGCCTAATAGGATATAGGGCATTCGTATGTGCCCCCCCCCCCAAGTACTACCCAATTAGATAGCCTCCCGCGCGCGTAGAGATGTAAAATTTTTGGAAATTTTGAAGCTCGGAGGAAAAACCGGTTTTTTTCCGGGGGAAAACGGAACTTTTCGGGAAAATTGAAAAAATGCTACATTAGCATTTCTTTTGTCTTTTCTAGATTGAAAGTCATTCTGTTACTTTAGGAACATACAATATGACTATGGACATTTTTACTTGGCATGAAATTATCACAACGAGCATATTAAAAATATAGTGTATCCAAACAATTATTTCAAACAGGATACCCACCCACATGCAAAAACAAAACTGAAACTTTTTTATTTTCTCCTGACGATCGCACCTCTTAAAGGAAGAAATGCATCTTGTTCTTGCATTGGAGGGTTCAGTCTGTAACCTAGGACTTGCTTGTCCTCAGTGCACAGGAATTAGATTAATCTGATACCATATATATATATATATATAAATGATTTGGAAAATATTTGAACACCTTGACTTAAAATATTTTATTCATCATGTTAAAATAAAATGTTCCATAATCGTTTTTCTTTTTTCAATTTTTCTAATTTTTCGGAAAAAAACCAAAAAGGCTTCAGGAAAAAAAATGGGGGAAAACCGGTTTCCCCCCGAATTTTCCCGGTTTTTTTCTGGGCCTTCACATCTCTACGCGCGTGGGCGTTTGACTGATTCTCTAACGGCTGCGAAGCTGGGAACGTAAGAAGCTCCCACGAAACCTAGACACTACCAACTCCTCCAGTGACCTTGATACGCGTTACATCTTTGAAGCAATTATGCACATGGGAAGGAATGCAAAGCAATTAGAAACATACCCCACACTCATGGCAGCTTTAGCTGACAGAGTCACGCTTAAGATGTGCTGTAACTTTTTGAATGTCACTGCATTGTGCGATCAAAGATGCTCCAGTGTGTAACCACTCATTATATAACCATTTCTAGTGTTTTGCAGTGGCCCTTCCAAAGAATGACCAAAAAGGCAGGCAGATTGTTTGGTTGATTTTATTCAGAATGTGTCCAACACAGTCAGGTTTCACATTTCCAAGCTCATCCTTTGTGTTCATAGGAACATTATATGAAGTCTTAAAAACCTGTCGAGTAGAAGGGGGAAACATGAATCCTTAGCAACCCCCCCGGGCCTTTATATAGTAGTCGATTCTCTCTGACATTGGGCTGGAAGGAGATGCAACGTCTCTATCGTGTTGGGGTGGGGTAGGATGGGGGGGAGAATCCAGGCATGCAAATAGTCCTAGAAAGGCCTTAAAAAAATCTGACTTAGCTTTTGTAACTGGTCCATCTTTTTTTTTTTTTAAGTTGAGTACTGTTAGTTTAGTTCTTTTATTTTGTCTCATTTTATTTTGTTTGGCAGTTGCAGAGGCTGACAGATAAATATGCAGCTCTTAAAGTACCCCATTCTACTAGGAAGATAGACGCTATGTGGGTCACCAGCCCCTTGCTGCCCCCTTGGCTCGGGTGTATCTGGTTCCCAAAACCATTTTGACCTCCACATGATGGTGTATTTTTTTGTTCCTGCCTTGAGCAACTACACACCACAGGATCACCAGAGCCAGCACACCTCTGACCAGCTGGGTACTTTTCTTCCCCTTTTCAACTCTAGAGCTTGTGTCTTTGCTAGAATCCTGTCCTTCTGTTTTTAAGGAGACCAAAGGTCATGTCACATAGCACAAATGGGGCCTGAAATTTCAGCCACGGCAGACCACAGCTCCACACAAAAGAAACACATCTTCAAAGTCAGGTTGACCTGTTTGGAAACACAAACTTTAAAAACAGCACAGCAAAAATGGATCTGCAATGCACTTGCTTCCCTATTTAAATACTAACAGCTTCATTTTTTTTGTTGTTGTTAACATATAAACGAACGGAATGATGGCGGATGGAGATCCCAGGATGGCTGGTCGGTGCTGCTGAGCCGGGGGGAAGACGCGGCAGGAGCAGCGAGAGGAACGGGGCTCGGATGGAGAAGGGTCTGAAGAGGCAATACAATCTCAGCATCTGTTCTAAAGTGACTCAAAAGGTGATCAAAACTGATCATTTTGCCAGTTTTAAAATATAATCTTATACAGCATTTCCCCTCCCCACCCCCCTGTAAACAGATCTGTTCATAAATAATTTGGACGTCTCCGTGACATTCATGACATCTAACAGAAGCTGAAGTAGAAAAAGGATGGATGTGTGTGTTTATGCATTGAGGAGATGTCAAGAGTACTTCGCTTTACGTTGGTGTCTCATTTAGCGTCTGGCGGGTGGATCATAGGCAGCATCAGCCGTCGGACACCGGAGGAGTGACCCACCCATATTTTTCATGGGTCTTCACTAGACTCTTAAATGTTGCCTCGGCTTCTTTGCGGCTGAAGGACTTTTTCGACTTCCCGGCTTTTCTGCAGATGCGGCCCTGCGTAAGTCAGAAGAAGAAAATCAGAATGCGGCCTCCTAGAGTTTAAGAAATCCCACCCGTCGCCAGCATCCCACCTGGCAAGGAAAAGCCCGGTTGGGCTGACCTTTTTGACAACTTGCTGCAAATACAGATCAATGAAGCATCAACACAGAATACAAAGATATGAAGAAATGGCTTTTGCAAATAAAGTCTGAAAAATGTGATGTGGGAGTCAAGCAAGAGTGCAGGTTCTAGAAACATCCGCTGGCATCCACGCTATCAAAGAGGGACCTTTCAGTTAGGCCGTGCAAAATGCCTAATGAGATGGTCATCACTTTACCGTGGAGTGCACAGGGAATGCCAAAGCAATAGCATTATGTACTTTTAGCTTCACAGGTATCAGAGGGGGAAATGTGCCTCGTGTAACAACATGGTTTAAGTGCCTTTATGACTCCAGATTCACACCTGATACACTTACACCACCATTCATACATCACCCAAATACTTCTTTTCACCTGTAAGTGTGAAGTGGTCTTATGACATTCAGCACTGTTGTGCAAAAGGCAGTATTTTACTACAGGGACAAGATATTTAAGTTAAGTTTCTCTTCAGACAATGCTTTTCATTTTTTTCCCAGCTTGCCATGTTTTAAAGATCTATAAGATCTCAGTGGTTAAGATGCTGTCAGCTGCAGACTGGAAGGTCTGTAGTTTGGCAGTTTGAGACCCGAGTGCTGCACGACGGAGTGAGCTCCTGTCTCTGGTCCCAGCTCCTGCCAACCTAGCAGTTCGAAAGCAAGAAATTGCAAATAGATAAATAGGTACCACTTTGGTGGGAAGGGAACAGCATTCCGTGCGCCTCGGCATTTAGTCATGCTGGCCACATGACCACGGAAACGTCCAGTCCCAGTTTCTGTCTTCACCCTCTGCAATACTGCAATATTGCTTTTCTATCTTGGGTGTGCAGAAATTAAGGCTGTGCCTGGAAAAGACCTCACTGCCTCCTCCTCCTCCCAAATTTAGGTTCCTGTTCTCTTTTTCATCTCCCTGCCTAAAGCTAGAACCTATCAGGGGAGGTATTCTTCAACTTTATTTATCTCTGTGTATTTTATACGCTGCCTCTCCAGAGACCTGCTGGAGATGTTTTACAGCTAAGGCGATAAACCCATGAAAACACAGCCATTAAAAACAAAGCCACTAACAAACCCTTTTAAAAAGTCAGAAACACCCAGCCGATGCCACTCAAACAAGCTGGACGTAACAGCAGCACAAGCACCTGGTATTTCTGGCCACTGTGTGACACAGAGTGTTGGACTGGATGGGGCACTGGCCTGACCCAACATTGGCTTCTCTTATGTTTTTATATGGAGCAGAGGTCCATCAGTGGCTATGAGCCACAAGTTATAGATAGGGGCTCTGGGGCAAGTGATGCTCTGTCTTCTTGGTGCTTGGGGGGGGTCAACAGTGGGATGGCTTCTAATGTCCTGGCCCCACTGGTGGACCTCCTGATGGCCCCTGGTATTTCTGGCCACTGTGTGACACAGAGTGTTGGACTGGATGGGCCTTTGGCCTGATCCAACATTGGCATCTCTTACGTTCTTAAGTGACTATCTTCTCACCCTCAGCCTCTGCATTCCCGAAGTCGAGAGCTCTCACTCAGAAGACGGACTCACTCAAACTTTGTTCTGTTGCTTCAGACCAACACAGCTACCCACCTTGAGTGGCATCGGCTGGGTGTTTCTGTTCATTGAGAGTTTTCCGTGCAGGCACACCTCAGGTCTGCACAGGCCAGCCGTAGAGAAGAATCTTCCGGCTTAAAGGAACTGAGGAGGCACCCCTCCCGTTTGGCATGCAAGGCACCGTTTTCCTGGCGAAACCATTGCACGCAGCGAGGGAGAGGCGCCATTTCTCCTCAGAGCTGCCAGAGAACAGCAGAAACCCAGAAGGACCCACAGCCAGGTAGGAGAGCGCGAGCGAGCGAGCATGCGCCTGCACAGAAGACACTCGAGGAGCAACAGAGACAGGCAGGCACATCCCCATTTTCATCATCGCTCTTCTGTCCAGGCCCACACTGGGGGAATAGTGAGCTACTCACCAAGGAAGCAGGGTCAACCTATGGATGCCAGACCCCCAGTGTGGGGAGGGGTCCCCCGGTTTCTGGCGCTTAACCCCCCAGCGCCAGCCAACTGGCCAGCGGGGAAGAATTCCCCCCCCCAAACAGGCAAGAAGCAAGAAATAAACACGACATGCCTACTTCACCCGGAAGTGACCAAGACACGCCAGTGACACTGGAAGCGACGCTCCGGTTACTGGGCAAAATTCCATGGTGCAATTAGCTTGAGACCATAGTTCTGCCCCAAAACCAGACCATCACCCCAATGTCATCGACGTGCTTACATCACTTCCGGATGACGTAGGCACGCCGCGTTTATTTCTGGCTCCCGGGTGATGGAGGCACGTCGCATTCTTCCGGCTTCCCGGTAAGCGCCCTCTCCCGTGCCCACGAGTCCTGCTGATCCGGCAGTCCCAGGTGACCTTCTCGGCCGCAAAGAGAACACAGCACAGCTCTTCCTACAGCAGACTCTCTTCTGGGATCTATATCCATGGCGTAGCGGTATGCTGAAGAGGGAGGAGAGCACCTCTTCAGTTCCTTTAAGTTAGACCTTTTTTCTCCATGGCCCGCCCACACCTGCCCAGCCTCAGGGTCTACCTGCACAGAAGAACAACAAGGATGGGCTGATTTGGGGAAGGGGGGATATTGTCCTCCCCTTAATGAGAGACTTTCTGCAAAAGACAGCCCGTGACAGAAAAGATGCCTGATAATGAGGAGTTTCAGACAGGCGATATATTCCGGTTCAGGAACCGTTCCCAAACGGTTTCTGGTCTGACATTTCAGACAGAACCGTTTTAGAACCGGTTCCCTACCAGAATATAGTTGTACTTTCACGTACAAACGCTTCTGTCCCGTTCAGGAAACGGGGCTGAACCGTTTTACCTGTAAACCACTTCCAAGTAGTCTTCAGTTTCTCCTCCGGGATCCGAAACGCCTTTCCCCCGCCGTTTTTCCCTGCGCGGGCGATCTCCGGTTTGTTTTTTTTAAAATGTTTGCTTTAGAGCGCTGTAGCGCTATAACACAACAGCAAAACAGCATTATAGCAGCCCCATTGGAATGCCTGGAGTGTTGTGTTATAGCACTATAGTGCTCTAAAGCGAACGTGTTTTTTTAAAAAAAAGCCGGAGATCGCCCATGCGGGCGAAAAACGGCAGGAAAAAGTGGGGAAAAGCAGTGGCAGCCCTATACCGATACATCATGCGAAATGCTGGCCTGGATGAATCACAAGTGGGAATTAAGATTGCTGGGGAAAAGATCAACAACCTCAGATATGCAGACGATACCACTCTAATGGCAGAAAGTGAAGAGGACCTAAAGAGCCTCTTGCTCAGAGTGAAAGAGGAGAGCGCCAAAGTGGGCTTGAAGCTCAACATCAAAAAAAGATCATGGCATCCGGCCCCATCACTCCTTGGCAAATAGAAGGGGAAGTCATGGAAGTAGTGACAGACTTCACGTTCCTGGGATCCCAGATCCCCGCAGACTGTGACAGCAGCCATGAAATTAAAAGATGCCTGCTCCTTGGAAGGAAAACGATGGCGAACCTAAACAGCATGATAAAAAGTAGAGACATCACCCTGCCAACAAAAGTCCGCATGGTCAAAGCAGTGGTATTCCCAGTAGTCATGTATGGCTGCGAGAGCTGGACTATAAGGAAGGCCGAGCGCCGAAGAATAGATTCTTTTGAACTATGGTGCTGGAGAAGACTCTTGAGGGTCCCTTGGACTGCAAGAAGATCAAATCAGTCAGTCCTAAAAGAAATCATCCCTGACTGTTCCCTGGAAGGCCAGATAATGAAACTGAAGCTCAAATACTTTGGCCACCCAATGAGAAGGGAGCACTCACTGGAGAAGACCCTGATGCTGGGAAAGACTGAAGGGAAAAGAAGACGGGGACGGCAAAGGATGAGATGGTTAGACAGTGTCATAGATGCAACGAACATGAAATTGAGCCAACTTCAGAGGACGGCGGAAGACAGGAGAGCCTGGCGTGATCTGGTCCATGGGGTCGCGAAGAGTCGGACTCGACTGTGCGACTGAACAACAAAATACCGGTTTACTCCACAATGGATCAAAAACGGCTTCAAACCGGCTTCAAAAGGGTCATGTGAAATTCCTCAATGTTTCTGCCATTCTGAGTCTCTTTCACTCTGAACTGCCTCAGCGAACATACCAAAGCCCAAAGTGAGGCTAAGTAGCTTTTCAGAGAACAGCCAGCCAGACACTAACAGCAACAGCATAAAGAAGAGTACGTATATTATGAGTTTGGGAAGAACTGTTCCTAAAATGTTGCTCTGTGGGGAAGAGGAACAAGGAAAAGAAGAAGACGGAGAGGAAGAGGAGAAGGAGAAGGAGAAGAAGAAGAGATTGGATTTATACCCCACCCTGCATTCGGAGTCTCAGAGCAGCTTACAAATGCCTTTCCCTCCCCCTCCCTACAACAGACACCCTGTGAGGTAAGCGGGGCTGAGAGAACAGCTCTGAGAGAACTTGCGACTGACCCAAGGTCACACCAGCAGCTGCATGTGGAGGCGTGGGGATATCAAACCCGGTTCCCCCAGATTGGAGTCTGCGCACTTAACCCTTATATCAAACTGGGACATCTTGGAGATTTGGGGGCGAAGCCTAGGGAGGGCAGCGTTTGGGGTGGGAAGGGACCCCAGCTCGGGATAATGCAAAAGAGGCCACCTTCCAAAGCAGCCAGTTTCTCGCGGGGAACTGATCTGTGTAATTCCGGGTGATCTCCAGGCCCCACCTGGGGGTTGGCAGCTTTATATCCAAAGTTCCAGTCATGGAATTTCTGTGTCACAGAGGGTGGCGTTCAGATGGGGCGTTTCAGCCGGCAGAATCTGTACCGGTACAAGCAGAGCAAGGCGAGGCAGCATTCCTTTGTTGCTTGCCCCCAGGCAT